CAATTTTCGGCATCGTTTACCTCGCAAACAGTTAACGAGGTACCATCTAGGCAAATGTAACCCTTGGGAATTATGTAACGAAGGTATTTAGAATCCGAAGGTGAAATTTTGAACCAAAGAGAATTGACTTCTGGTGTGATCGAAATTATTTCTCCTGTTGTATCAACGTGACCCTGTAGTAATACGATTTGAAATAATTAAGAAATAAATAGAATGTAGGACTTTGGTCATGTAGTGGTAATATCAGTAAATGAAATTATTGGCTGACATCGCGCTACTAGCACGATATGATATTATCCAGCACATGATCCAAGATCAGACGACGTCGGGATATTCATGACCATGTTCTACAAATCAATATAACTTTCTCATTATTACACAGATTAAATCATGGTCATATTATTTGCCCGAAAATTCTTGACATAGTTTCTTTACTTGTACAAAATGTCCACCAAATCTAATGTTAGCTGCAAGTGCTCTTTCCAAATTCACTTTATTTCCAATTTTCAAATCACCTTTATGAAATGTTAAGAAACAGTTTAATTATATTAATAAATAAAATTATACAAAACACAAGTAAAAACCTACCAAGATTAGTTCTTCGAAGTGTTTCAGGCGAAAGACCAACTTTGAACCATTCAGTGCCAAAGTCGGTTACCGTCAAACAAGTACCTAATATATAAAGAATTCGAACTCAGATAAAAATCCATAAAATCTTTTTTTTTTCTTGATCATATTGGTGAAAAGAGCTTGTACCATTGACACTAATGCTATCACCAAGTCTACAATCAACAAGTACGAGTTTAGCGTCCCCAATTTTCATTGACCAACCATCACCACCAGTATCTGAATGATCCAATTGTTGTATTTCTACAACCACACCCATGTGTTCAACTATTCCTGTAAACATTATGAATTGGATCCAGAATAACAAATAATCAGAGAAATCGAAATCTAATCAGTGTTTAAAATTTTTATCTCTGCATTAATGTAAGGCAGGCCGATTTAATTCCGGTCAACCCTAAAGAAATGTCACTCACTTGATTTTACATGAACAGTCAGTCATATTCTGATTGGACGAAATCAAACTTTGAGACCTATCGAAAATCAAAGAAAGTTTTTATCTTGATTCTATAAAGCAATTAAGATAACGAATATTTTAAAAAACAAATTTTATAATAAAAATTTTTTAAAAACAACTTACTAATAAAGAATATTTCTAACTTGCCTATATATATGGCTTAAATAACTATTGTGTTAAGTAAAAATGTTTAGTAAAAATGTTTAGCACTATAAAAAAACCTTATTCTAGTCTTAATTATAATTCTGATCCTAATTTCAATTTTATTTTTAATATTTTAATTTAAAATTTAAAACCAGATTCAATGCAAAGGTGTTTAAAAATTGGTAATAATACAAAAAAATTATAAAAGAAAAAAAAGAGAAGAGTTTTAGAAATATAGAAAATAGTTGGTTTAATAGTTTTAGAAGATTA